CACACACACACACACACACACACACACACACACACACAAGTTTCATGACAGCCAGGGCTACATAGGGAAAGCCTGTCTTAAAAAAAAAATCAGAATAAAAGGAGAGATTGACTCATGACATCTGTGCCCACAACCGGTTAATTTTCCACCAAACTATTTTTCCTTTTTACTTGAGCACATTGTTAAAAAGACAGGTCACTGCCACTTTTCCCCTTGGATATAGCCTGGTGCAGAGCGTCCGTCAGGGGAGTATGAAGAGAAGTGATGTAGACTGCTCCCAGGCTTGGCACCAACACCCTCCCATCCATAGTTCTTCTCTTTGTTTTTCCACTTGCACTTACCCAATTCTAAGGATCCAGAGAAGCTTCTAGAAGCCTACATTGCTACTTGAGGTAAGTTACCCGGAAAGACTTAACTAGTTAACCAGGCTAACACTATACTATGAACAATGAACTTTATTTGGGATTTTTCTATGCAAATTTTTTAAATTTTGAAAATTTGAAGTTCTGTTTAACTTTCTTAAACTTGCCAAAAGCCACTTAGATTTTTCTTTCTCTTCTGGCAAAGAACATACCTAAAATTTCCCAGAAAAATGAGAAAGTTACTAATTTTGGCCTCTGCCAGCCAAATTGCCAAACTGAGGAAACTGGCATTATTCTAAAAATCTTTCTGGGTGGAATTCAGCTGGACTAGAGGGTCAAGCTCCCTGGAAGTGTGGATGCAGAGATCTGCTGGGTTCTCCCTACTGTTAACCCAAGCAGCATCAACATGGCAAAGACACTGGAAATATTAAAATTAGAAAATGAGTAAATATAAGCTATATGCAGGAACCCAACAAGGAGGGTCTTCCTCTAGTTCATAGGTAGATGGGAGTGGGTAGAGACCCTGGGAACAACTAACTTTAGTACAACAATTCACTGAAGGACAGGACAAGGGAAAAGGCATGAAGAAGCAGAGAAGGAACATGAGAAAGACATGCAAGTGGAGATGGGAAGCAGGGATTGGAGAAAGAAACCCCTTGAGACTCCTCTAAAAGGCTCCAAAGAGCCCTAAGATTCTGGCCATGAATGGGAAGGAAATAGTAACAGCCATCTTGGACCCAGCTCTCCAGGCCTTCTCGCTATCTTCTCCATTTTATTTACTATCCTCTGTATGTCCTGCTCTCTGGCGGCTTCCTTATCATGTCACACACACACACACACACACACACACACACACACACACCAGCCTTCCTTTGAGACAGCAAATGATTTTCTGATTTTGCATAGGAAGTTTGAAGAACAACCCACTACACTAGACACATAAGACAGACTGACCACTTTCTCATTCTTCTCCAGGCCGTGCCCCACAGTAAAGCCTCAAGGTATACCCCAGACCTCAGCATACAGTCACAGGCACTCTCCTCTGCCACAGCTCAGCACAGACCACCCATCATGCCAAACCCTGTGCTTCTATGCAGTGATTTTGTTCAGATATGAAAATAAATAAATCTTACCCTCATTTTTGGGGTTGTTTTTTTTTTTTTCCTGATTCTCTGGAATTTGCTGCCACTGAGGAAGATTGAGCAATCAGTTTCTCTGCAGGGAACACCCATTTTTCTGGGAAAATTTAAGCACATTCCTTCCTAGGAGAGAAAGGAAAGACCAAAAGGCTTTTGGCAAAGTTTTCAGACCTAATTGTCTAAGAAAACGACATTTCACAATTACAAGATGGTGAGGCGGTAGGAGTCTTGATTTGATGTTGTCTGTTCTTGCCGAAGGGTTCCCGACTCCCTTTGCTCTCTCATTTGGCCCTGAGAACTGAATTAGCTAAGACTCGGACAGCCAGGGCTTGTCCAAGGCCTGGACTCAGTGCTTCTGTTTAAGGTCATGAGACTGACTGGAAGCCGGGCTTGTCCTTTGGAGCCACATTACCTTGAGCTGGCTTGGTGACTGTGCTTTGTTTCTTTATCTATGAAATGAGAAGAGACTGGTGGACAAAGCTCTGATCTCCAGCACCAGTTTGACTGTCCTCTGAGTCAACAGAGACGCTGCTCTTTGTTTCTATACCCTCAGTGGAGGGGTGTTCTTATCAGCATAATGCTGGGATCTTTCTGGCCTCTCACTCTAAAGTGAGCATTCAATAATTCTCTATCACATTGCCCTGATTTGTTTCCACTCACAGAAATAGTCACGTTTGGTAAAATATTGAATATTTATGCATAATTCCTTACTATCTGAAATTATTCTTTTTAAAACCTTCATTGCTTCCATTGTGAATGACATGCACACATCCCCATTCACCCATACACATCAGACATAAGTTAGATGAGTCCTCAGGCTTTGTCTGCTTGTGTCTTACTGCACAGTACCGTACCTAGCAGTCAGTACGTAATCACCACGTAATCAAAATGTGCTGTGAGTCAATACTTGATCTTGTTGGCATTGGGGTGCTTCCCAAGAATGAGGAGATCCCACAGAAGATAGAGGGGGCCTTATGACATAAAGTCAGGTCTGAGGGGGAGGCTGGAAAGAGGTAGGAGTAAGGATGGACAGAGAGCAAGAAAACAGGATTTCTATGACCTCCCGCTAAGAACAAACTCAGCTGCCAAGGGATGAAGTAGAGAAACATCTGCACTTTGCTTTTGAATTTCGATATCCCTAACAGACACATTAAGCCGGAGGCCATTCTTGCTGGGCTTCCTAAACCATCTGAAATGTAACAAGGTGTTAGATCTGTGATACTTATCTCCCAGTGGTAGTGTGAGGATTAAAATGGATTAAAGTACATAATGTATGTAGCATGCTGTTACAGAACAAGCATTAGCCTCGGCTGCTAGGATCCCTCCTCTCCAGGAATCTGCAGCATCTCTTTGGGTACACATCATTCTTTTCAACATTTAGGCATGGCCTCAGAGCTCATGGCTAAAATTACCTCCTGTTTCTGCATCTTTCCCTATTGACCTCCCTGCTTCTCTGAACCCATCCACAACAAAGCCGCCAAAGTGAGCTCCCCTCCATTAGCGCTTGGCCCACCAGAATCAAATTATAGACACCGCTTGCTCCTTCCAAGGCCGCCGGGACTTCCCTACTGTCAAGAACCAGAAGCACATCCAGAATCGCCCATCTTTGCAGCAGCCCACATTCTTTAGCACTCATTATTGGAATTCCTTTTTCTTGTCTCACAGACACCACACTCACCACATCTCCCCTCCCCCCCATTGGTATGGCCACTGCTTTTGTCTCTGAAATGCTGACTTTTCCTCTGACAGTCGATTTTAAATCTTGCAGTTCCTTAGCATGTGGCCTTTTAAACTTTTCTTCCTTCAATATTCTCATGTGTTTCTATTTTTTCTATTTATATGGCAACTCCCAAATTAATATTCTCTAGTTTTTGTATGTCAGTTCTAGATCTCTCTATTAGAGTGTTTATGTGACATGTCTGTATGTACGTCTTAAAAACATCTCAAGCCTTGAGTGTACAAAATCGGGCCCCTGCTTTCTCCCAGGGCAGCCTAAACTAGTGTGTTCCTTCTCCATTCTTTTCCATCTTGTAAGTGGGATTTCCACTCTCCTAGAAAATAGGAGTTTCTTCCTTAAGTATTGCGACCAGTGTACCACTGAGTCCTGCCAATCTTTTCTCCCAATCTTTCTCCTCCTAACCATCTCTGCTTCCTTTACAGTGATCTCTACTTCCATCATCTCTCATCTAAAATAGTTTCACCTCCACTAGCTTTCTTCTATTATATTTCACTATTTGAATATAATCACAGCCTAAGCTAATACTTTAAAATTTAATTTCGGTCACAGCAAATAGAATGGAATTTAACTTTTCCAACTCCAGCTCAACATATCTAGCCTCTGCCGACATAAAAATTCAGTTCCTCATCCTTACCAGGCACCAAGCACATGGCTCTTGTCTTCGTCACTATTCTATTGCTGTGAAGAGACATTGGGAACAAGGTGACTCTTGAAAAGAAAACTTTTAAACGGGGCCTTGCTTACCGATTCAGAGGTTAGTCCATTGTCATCATGGCGGAGACCATGGTGTCAGGCAGGCAGGCATGGCCCTGGAAAAGTAGCTGTGAGTCATATCCTGAGCCACAGGCAGCAGACAGAGGGAGAGACACTGGGCCTGGCATGGGCTTTTGAAACCTCAGAGCCCACTCCCAGGGACACACCTCCTTCAACAAAGAGGTGTCTACTCCAACAAGGACATACCTCCAAATCCTTCCAAACAGTTTGTCAGCTGGGGACTAGGCATTCAAATCTATGCGCCTCTGCGGCCGTTCTCATTCTAACCACCAGTCTTCTTCCATCCTCTACATCTGCTGAGCTCTTTCCCCACCCCTGCACCTTCCCATACCTACTTCCCCTGCATGGAATGGCTTCTTCTTTACTTGCAATCTCTTAGGCTCTCTGAGGGCCCCATTTAAGAATCGTTATGATTTGGTAATCTAACCTAATTCCTTCCTTGTGTTTTCCTGTACCTTGTTCTGTTCTTTTCATATCATTCAACATGTTGTATTTATAGAACCAACACTATGTGTTGGTGGCTGCTATCTATCGAGCACCTAGCACAGGGCTTAGTATACAATCTGCAAATTATGAGTTTATTTTAATATTTATTTTTATAGTTTTTAATTTTTTTCTATATGTGTGTCTGTGTGTGGGTGTGTGCGTGTGAGTGCAAGTACCCATGGAGTCCAGAAAAAGATGTAAAATCTCCTAGAGTTGGAGTTGTGAGCCCCCTGACATGGGTGCGGGAAATAGAGATTGAGTTCTATGGAAGAGCACTAAATCCTAACTGATGAGTCTTCTCCATGTCCCCCAGGTAACAATATTTCAGGAAATACTATCGTTACTTAGTTGTAGTAATATTGAGATTTATAGTAGCATCATTATAGCTCTTAGAGCCAGAGGCATTCCCACTTTGGAGGGATATGGTGCAAAAACGTATACAGAACAATCCTGGGGTTTGCATTGAGACAAGAAACCACACACACGTGTTTCTAGTGAAAGTCACAAGCAGCCACTTAGAAGGTCAGGTCTAATACAATCGGCAATGAGGTTGTGAAAACAAAGGTTTTGAGATTTTAGATTGAGGTGCTTATGTTGTTCTTGTCCCCCAGCCCCACAAGGCTAAGCTTTCATGAGCAGTAATGACAGAACAGACACTCTCACCATGTGGAAAACAAAAAACATTTGTCCTCCACCCATACTGAATGCAAGGAAAGTCACAAGACTTGAGAGGAAACGCTGACCCTCTGGACTACAGTCATGAACTCTCCACCATGGAATTCCTCTCCCTGAGAAGGTCACTACTGGGGAACATGCAAAACTCTCCACTTCAAATTGGGGAAGAGAACTCTGCCTTGTCGGAGCCCGACTCTGCTGCTGTTCATGACTCACAGAACTTACCCTCCAGTGACTGTCCTCACGCTTCCATGTGCATGTCTGCTCACCTGTAAGCTCAGTGCAACATCACAAGCTATTGAGTATTCTCCACAGTAATTACTTTATCTTCATTTGTCTTATCTCTAAAATTAAACAATCCTGACATTTTCAACCGAAAGTTAGGAAGGATTAACATAAAAAGGATCAAACTAAGGGAGAAACAGAAAGGACTTCAGAGTCCATCAAAAGTGTGTCTAGACGCTCCCAGTCCTGCCCGCTCGCCTGTCTTTCAGCATCGTTGTAGGTGTAAATGCCTGAGATAAATTTCACACAAGTGTTTGGATGAGAACCTGAGTTATAAAATGCCTGATAGATTGTTGTAAACTGCAGAAGCTACGGTAAAATTATTCCCACATTGCTATTATTGGCTTGAAACTTTGACACAGAAAGGTAATCTTGAAAATTAGTATAACACAAAATAAATAGGAAAAAATAAGACTTTTAAGGCACTATAGAAAAGTGAAAGGAGAATGAGAAACAGTTAAAAATTAATGGGATGAAAGGTATGTAGGAAGAGAAATTGGTTTTAGCAAGTAAGAAAATATTTTATAAGTATCTTCCAGTTACTGTATAATGTGCATTTCTAAATATATCCAAAAGACAAAAGGCCATTCAATGTTCATATCTTTAATGTAAATGGCAATGTCTACAATTTTCCAAAAGGAAATTTTCAAAGATGGAATACCATCTTTCTTAATTTACATTTAACATTTGAAACTATAAAAATAAATCCAAAGTTTAACTCTGTTATTTCTGAATTCAAAGGCACAATGATGTACCCTAAAGTCAATGGCTGCCATTAAAAACATGAGTTTACACAAGCAAAAAGCTTCCAGGCATATTTTAGTCAACATTAAAGAAGTAGAAATATAGGATTTGGGAAAACAGAACTTATTCCATCTGAAATCAAGAAAAGGGCCAATGTAACACAAATCTTAAAACAGTCTTTTAATAAATGAGAAAAGCCAAAGCCAGATATTGGGGTCAATGCTGAAAGATTAGAGAGACAAAGGAACAAGCCACAGCCACCCCCTTACCTCACCAGCTCCTCAGCCTGGAAAACCCTCAGCCGATAGGCCTCCAGCTGAATGAGCTTCCTCAGTCCAAAAGGCTTTAGTCCCTGTCTCCTCACGCCTTATATACCTTCTCCACCCAGCCATCACTTCCTGGGATTTAAGGCATGTGTGCTTCCCAGTACTGGGATTAAGATGTGTGCCACCACTGCCTGGCCTCTATGTTTAATCTAGTGGCTTGTTCTGTTCTCTGATCTTCAGGCAAATTTTATTAGGGTACACAATATATCACCA